CGTTTCCCCTAATTATTTTTTCATATTTATGACTAAAGTCCTTTAAAGAAAAGATTATGCCTTAGAGCATTCTCAATTATTTCAGAAGCTACCACCAAATTGTATTTGCAGAAGGTACTTAATAAATATTTACTAATGACGGACAGCTCCAAACCAGGCTCCCCCTCCACCTACCTCGGAGACAGGCCACGCCTGCCAGCAGTAGTAGCAATGTCCCAGCGTAGTGAGAGAATGGCACCACTTTGGACAAACTCAAGTAACCTGGGGAAGGAAGAGGGAACACATGAGAAGCTCTCCCCACTGCCTCTCAGCTCCTCTTCCCAATTCAGCCCCAACCTCCAACCCACAGCCTCTCTTTAGGACAGCCACACCCTCAGAGGAAGAAGACGCCTGATGGAAGAGGGAAGCCAAGCCATCCTCACAGGCCCCCTTTCCTCTTTAAGGGGCCTGCTCATCTGCTAACAACCTGCCCGCTTCCTGCCCACCACCTTTGAAACCACACTGACCTTTCCTGTACAAGTAGAAGAAGGCGAAGGGAGAGGAGTAATAAGAGATGGACCAGAAGACTGAAGCCTGCAGCAGAGAGACAGAGACAAGCAGTCAATATACATACACACATGCACACACACACATGCATGCACACGCATACACACACACAGTTCTGCCATTTCCAGGCCTAGGCTCTGAGCAAGGTGGGTAAACTGAGGGATATCATATCAAGTACCTATTCTGTGCATAACATTAAGTACACAGTAGGTGCTTGTTGAAATGCAGTGTGTATGAGCATAACAGAGGCTGGGAAAACTAGATTCTTTTTTCCCCCCAAATCACCTCTGGAGGTAATTCTATCACATTTAAAGGTGAGTCCCTCTTTCTACTCAAGTTAATCAAGCTTTCTCAATTGGCCCTGCTCAGGAGAGCCCTGGCCTGGTCCCCAAGAGATGCGCAAACGTCACCATAGGAACCCAGCCAGAGAGAACAGTTCTCTGCAGCCAAAGAGGTTAGCTGCCAGGGAGGACAGGTCACTGGGGACTGCAGGACTTATAACCTGCAGATGGTCCCGAGAGTAAAGATATCCTCCTCATGGTTCAGCTGCCCAGGAGAAAGCAGTGCTCCATACCAAAGGGGAGTACCAAGTATGTACACTGGAGAGCATGTGCATGTGTTGAAGAGTTCTGCTGCAGAGTCCAGAGCATCCCCCATCCCTGGGTGCTGCCTTCTTCCAGTCTGGGGAGGACTAAGTTCAAAAGCGCAGCTGGGTCTGAAAAGATGCAGTGAGCCCCAGATGCCAGGGCAGACATACCAGGGCCAGGATGCTGTCCGCATGTTTCTCCAGGGCACGGGGCTGATAGTACGTATCCTGCCAAGACAGATAAGCTCATTAAGGACTCTACCCATTGGCATGTCTTTCCTTTCCCTTTCAGAAGCCCAGAGGTATGTCCTCTGGTTCTGGCCTCCAAAGCTATGTCCCCTGGGACACCCCTCACTTAGCCCCCATGGAAGCCCTTCTTCCCTACCCCCAACCAAAGATGACTTCCCACCCCAGACCCGGACAAGCACAGGACTTGGAAGTAAAAGTGAAAGCAGCATTGGGGGACTTTTGCTCCTTTCTCACCCCAGTTTCAAATGGGCCGTGAACGTGTGTATATGGGGAGAGGGGTTAGTGACGAAGGAAAAGACACATGACAACTTTAAGAGGGAAAGAAGAGCATCAGCTATAGGGGAGGTTGATTAGGGAAGAGACCAACCGTGGAGCTGACTCTGGCAGTTTGTAGGGGACAGTAAACACAATTTGGGACTACCGATAAAAAGGAAAAGAACATTTAGGGTCACAGCCTACCACCACCCCCAGCTTTCATAAATGCAATGACTGGAGTCTTCAGGTTAAACTGAGGCGGGGGGGGGGGGGGGCGGATACATGATATGTTGAAGAAGGCATTTTGAAATTCAAGGCCAGTGTAGAGGGAAGATAAACGGAGCCTGGGGGAGGATCCAAGAGGCACCGAAGAAGAAACTGGTAGTTTTAAGGAAAAATCCGCCAGCTCCCCAAACCGCGCAGGGCCTCTTCTAGGGTTTGAGTCAATTAGGATCGCCAGGGACCATGACAGATAGGGTGGGGGGGCCGCGGAGAAGAAAAAATCAGGAGTGGTGGTCGGAATGAGAAAGCGGTGCGCAAACAGCTATAAAGAAAGGAGGCAGCCAGCCCACAGGCGTGACTTTAACCCAGGAAGCACAAAGAGCTCAGACTTTGCGGACAACTGGCTTGACAAACAGTCTCCCCCTATTTTCAATAATGGGCACTTCTTGGGAGCAAAGGCCGCAGCGGTTTGAGCAAGTACCATGTTTTTCGCCGGGGGAGAAGTCGACTCACCCAGGAGCTGGAAGAGGGAGTGGTGACTGTAGTTGGAGGCTCAGGGACGCCGGACGGGGTCCTTTCTGAGTCCCTTTCTCGGTAGATTTTGTAGAGCCGGGGGCCTAGGACGCAGCTCAGGAGCTTTGCCATTGCCCCGGCTCGGGGCGCGGCTCCGTCGGCTGCCGGTCCCCCTGCTGGCCCCGCCCTCCCCCAGCCTCTGAGATGTTGCGTGCCCTTGACGTCAGCGCGTACTAGCCCCGCCTAGTGGCGAGTCGGGACATTATTCTCTCTTTTTGAGAAGGGTTTCGCGCAGTTGGAGCTATGGATTCAGCAGTGGTTAGAAACTAGTTGCAGGCGTTTGGAACGCGGAGAGTTTCAAAATTATTCGGCATAGTTAAATCATTTTTTTTCTGTCCCTTAATACTTGGCACACTCTCGAGCGAGAGTGGAAACGAGGGGTAAGAGGAGCATTTGACAAGAGCAACAAAAAGATGTCTAGGAATAAATCTAGTAAAAGAAATGCAAGAATTTATGAAGAAAATTATAAAAAGTTGTTGAAAGAGGTAGAAGGCGGCTTGAATAAATGGAGAGCTACACCGTGGTCAAGGAACCCTGGGGTCGCAATGGTTAATTGCTGGGCTGCTCACCGAAAGGTTGGCTGTGACTCTGCAAGAGAAAAACCCGGCGATCTGCTTCTGTAAAGATTACAGCCAAGAAAACCCTATGGGGCACTTTTACTCCGTCAAGTGCGGTCCCTATGAGTTGAAAATCAACTCCATGGCACCTAACAACGACAGCACCATGGTCGTGGATAGGAAGACATTGTTGTAAAGATGTGTGGGATATTCGTAAAAAAAGAAAATGAGTGAATTAACTCTCATAATCACGGACAAATCTCAAACCATACTAATGAATGGGAAAAGAAGCCACAGAATACATACACCATACCATTTGCATAAAATTCAAAAACACACAAAATAATAAAGCAGGTGAAGCTAATTTAGACAGTGGTTACAGAGCATAGAGGATCTTTGACTGAACTTCAATTTCTCAATAAATATACAGGTTTATTTTATTTTTCTTTGTACCTTACCCGTTGCTGTTGAATTGATTTCGACTCATGGCAACCCCATGTGTTTCAGAGTAGAACTTCGTTCTACTGGGTTTTCAAGGAAGTACATCACCAGGACTTTCTTCAATGGGGCCTGCTGGGTGGATTCAAACAGACAATCTATCTGTTAGTAATCGAGTGCAAATAGTTTGTGCCACCCAGGGACCTTACATCTACCTAGTATATAATCTCTTTAGCTTTTTATTGGCATTAACTTATATACAGAGAAATGCACCAATTGAATATTTCCATGTAATCAACACCCAAATCATGAGTAGATCATTACCAGCATCCAGAAGGCCCTCTCCAGCTCCCTACCAGTTGCTACCCCCACCCTAAATGGAACTACTAACCTAACTTCTAACCCCATAGATTAGTTTTGTCTGTTTTTGTACTTTACATAATCTAATACATGCTATTTGTGTCTTGTTTTATTTACTCTCATTATGTGAGATTCAGTCTTGTTGTGTGTCCTTGTGATTTGTTCAGGCTCATTGCTGTCCGTTATACAGTTATTTATCCGTTACACAGTTGTACATCATGGTTTTTTTTTAACCATTTTTTATTGTGGTAAACATATAAGGAGCAAAACATTTGCCATTTTAGCAATCTTCACATGTTCAGTGACATTAAATACACTATCGTACTGTTCAACCATCACCATTCATGCTTCCCAAATTTTTCCACCACCCTTAACAAAACTCAGCAACCCCTAAGCGTTGTATCTTCCTTTCCCCTCCCTTCTGCCTGCTCCTGGTAACACTAATAAACCTTTATCTCTATACATTGCCTATTCTAGATATTTCATATAAGTGGAATCATACAATATTTGTCCTTTTGTGACTTATTTCACTCAGCATAATGTCTTCAAAGCACCATGTCTTTTGTATGTATGGAATATTTCATCAAGAATAATTTTTAAAATAAATAAGTAGACTTTAAAAATAAATAACACATTACAAAGTATTAGAACTGTATGAAGATCTGCCTTGAGAGAGTGCTGCCTGGGCCAGAGGGATGAATCAGTGGCCCCTCCAGGCTTCTGCTACTCTTCTCCCTGAGTGATAGCTATATAAACCAACTCATCATGGTTTCAGGAGACATCTGAAGGGTAAGTCATTCCAAATCATTTATGGGCTGCTAATTGGGTGCCCAGTCTTGTGCTGGGTCTCATGTAGACCAACATGATGACTCAACTGCTTTGCTCATGGTTGGTGTCTGTTAGGGGTGGAAGAGAGACCACAGAATGTACTTCCAGACTGATAAGAGATGGACGGTTGTGATCCCTTCTGTGCAGGCTTCTTAGCATGGAGAGTCTTTGTTCTGAGTCCCTCAGCTAATATGGAGTCAGAAGGGTTAGGAGGTCATTTTCAGAACAGCCTAGACTGGATCCTCCTCCTCTTCCCCCTCAGGATCAAGAGGTGGTGGTCACTTCTTCCCCAGTAGACAGGCAGCTGGACTTTATCTCCCAAGCATTCCCACCCCTGCCAGAGGCCCATGTCACTCCAGTCCAGAGACTGTGGGCTTTTATCTAGACTCTGTTTCCTCCCTGGGGACGCCAGGTCCCAGGGCAAGAGAACTTGGCAGGTCCTCCCCATGGCGGTCTTATTCCTCCTCCTTCTGTTCCTATGCTGGCCCCTCAAGGCAGCTGCAGGTAAGAAATAGGAAGTGAAGAATTCTTCAGCTATTCTAAAGGTTGGGGAAAGACTGCTGCTCTTTCTCCTTAGAGTCCTGGGGGAAGCATCTGACCTAAGAAGATAGATTTACTCCAAGTGACCTCCCCTTGCTTCTAGTACTGGAGAAGTCCCAGAGACAGTGAGGGTCCAGGTCACATAGCTTCCTTTAAAAAATAAGAGATGGACGAGTAAATGCTTTCAGAAAAGGAGAAAGGAGAGGAAGAGAGGTGGGCATTTGCCAACTATTTCAGCTTTTTCCCTCTTGTGCCAGATTCCCTTACTGGCTGAGGAAAGGGGAAGAAAGCCATTACCCTCTTCTCTCCACTTTTTTTTTTGTAGTTGTCACTTGAGAAATGTGCTCACCAGCCAGGCTAGTGTTGAGGGACCCTAAAAGGGGAGGACATTGAGTGGGGGTGGGTGTTGAGCCTGTGGAGGTCTCTGGTCTCACACAACCCTCTCCCCACAGAGAACATCCAGGCCATCTATGTGGCCTTGGGGGAAGCGATGGAGCTTCCATGTCCCTCACCACCCACCCTGCATGGGGATGAACACCTGTCCTGGTTCCGCAGCTCTGCAGCAGGCTCCTCTACCGTTCTGGTGGCCCAAGCCCAAGTGGCCAGACCAGCCCCAGACCAAGGAAAGCTTGGAAGGGAATCCAGGCCCAAACTGCTGGGGAACTACTCTCTGTGGCTGGAGAGGACCAAGGAGGGGGATGCTGGGCGGTACTGGTGCGCAGTGCTGGGTCAGCACTACACGTACCAGAACTGGAGGGTGTATGACATCTCCGTGCTCAGAGGTAAGTGGTGGTGAGCGGCGAGAGGCAGGGGGTGGGGGTGGGGGGGCAGCGTGCAAACCAGGGCCACTGGGTCTGGGGAGGCACACACAAAGAACTGAAAGGTATCCTCTTTCCCCACAGGCTCCCAGTTATCTGCAAGGACTGCAGATGGATCCCCCTGCTCTGTCCTCCTGTGCTCTGTGATCCCTCCTAGGCGCCTGGACTCTGTGACTTGGCTGGAGGGGAAAGGGCCTGTGAGGGGCCGGGTACAGTCCTTCTGGGGTGAGGGGGCTGCCCTGCTCTTGGTGTGCCCTGGGGAGGGGCTTCCTGAGCCCAGGGGCCGCAGACCAAGAATCATCCGCTGCCTCTTGCCTCAGAACAAAGGGATCAGCTTCAGCCTGGCAGGTAAGCTGAAGGAGGAGATGGGAAGGGATGATGGGCATATTTTTGTACCAGCTGGCTAGAGGAGGAGGCTAGACAGGAGGCCAATCCATTATTGGCTAGGTCAGGGAGTGACTTCTGGTGGAGCAGACCATTACCTAGAGGAGGGGGACTAGGGTAATCTGTGATTTTTGGGACTGTTCCATAGCTGAGAGGAAGAAACTAAGAAATTGCTGAGGGAGTTGTCTTTTCTAGAAAGGATACATGCACTGATGTTATAACGGCCTATTGTTAGTGAAAGCAGAAGAAGAAAAATATATATAATTGTTTTACAATAAAAAGTCCATTATACAGAGAAGGAATGTTATTGGGTGTAGAATAATCCATTTACAAGGCAGGAGAGAGAAGTAAATGGCCTTTATTTCAGTAAGCAAAAGCCAATGAATGGGCAGTAACTGAGTCTTATTTACCTTTTCATGCTCAGTAGCTAACACGGTGCCTGGCATGGGGTGGATGCTCAGCAAATGTTTATGAGTGAATGAATGGAAGAACGAATAAATGGAAGGTTCTTTATTTATTATTATTATTTTTTGAAAGGATAGTTTACTATAAAGGGATTAGGGGAAAAAAGCACAGTTACGACTGGTGATCTCTTCTGGAGTTACTTATCCTTAGGTGGTCAGGAGGGCAATGCCATTCTCTATGAATGGTGCCTCATGGAGTCAGGGTGAGAGGCCTGGAAGGGGAAAAAGTGGGCGGCAAGCATTGGGCACAGGGAATCTCATGAAGTCATCTGTTGGAAGAGCCCACTAGATTATGGGGGAAGCCTCTCTTTGGGGCAGAGAGACAGCCCCCTCACTCTTTCCCTCCCCACCCCTCTTGTCTTGCCCTCCTATAGCCTCCGTGGATGCCTCTCCCGCCGTTTGTGCTGCCTCCACAGGCTGGGATATGCCCTGGATCCTGATGCTGCTGCTCGCGGCAGGCCAGGGAGTCATCATCCTGACCCTCAGCATTGTGCTCTGGAGGCACAGGACTCAGAGAGCTTCATGCAGAAGTGGGTCCCTCCCTCCCAGGGGGAAGAAGAGAGAGAGCGCGTATGGGTGTGAGGTCTCACATCTCACCTCTGTAGCCTCTTTTCTTGGGGAAGGAGTAGCAAGGAATACAGATCTGGGTTTTCTGGTGACGTCTCTTCTCTTCCTCACCCTATATGGCTCCTTCTCCCCAGATGCCTCGATTCCTCAGTTCAAACCCGAAATCCAGGTCTACGAGAACGTCCATCTGGCCTGTCTCAGGTGAGGAAAAACTAGAGGGCAGAGGCAGGTCTTCCCAGAGGGGATTGAGGATGGAGGAGCAAACACTGGGGGTGGGGGTGGGGGTGGGGATGGGGTCCTAGTTCTTGAGGAGGTGAGAATGGAAGTATTCTTTTTATTTAATTAATTATTTTGTTGTTGTTGTTGTTAAAAAATACACAGCTGAACATACACCAATTCAACAATTTCTACATGTACAATTCAGTGACATTGATTACATTACTCAAGTTGTGCAGCCATTCTCACCCTCCTTTTTGCAATTGGTCCTCCTCCATTAACATAAACTCACTTCCCCTAAGGTTCCTATCTAATCTTTCAAATTGCTGTTGTCGATTTGATTCTATATCGAAGATTCTTAAAAGAGCATAATGCTTAAGGCAGACATTTTTTACTAGTTAAGCTAAAGTATTATTTGGTTTCAAGAAGGCTTCAGGGGATATTTTTCCTTTAATGTTTAAAGATTATTTCAGGGCAATAGTTTCACTGGTTCATCCAGCCTCCACGGCTCCAGAAAGTCTGGTCCAATGAGAATTTGGAATTCTTTTCTGCATTTTTCCCCTTTTGATCAGGTTTCTTTCATAGAAGAAAATGGAGAAATTCTTAACCTGGGTCTCTTTCACAAATTCCGCAGCCCACCTGCCCCCAAGACCAGGTGATTTCAGTGACATCTCCTGCTGGAAAGTGTGACCTGCTATCTCCCTGGCCATTTGGCACCTGAAGGATTCCACAGCGAACTTGTCCAGGGGGGAGAGGCTGAGTGTTGACTTCTTAGTGCAGCTGGTCTCCAGCTGCCAACTCTGGTGGGGAAGGGGCTGAAGGAAAGGAAGAGCATTATCCTCTGTGATGTCATCTACAAAAACGTGTGGTCCTCTGTCTTGCAGCAGCCAGTGGAGGATGGCCCTGAGCCCCCAGTATGGCAGTGACTGAAGGGAACCTGGGGGAGCTGGTGGGGATGGGGAGGGATGGGGTGGACAGAGGAGACAAAAGAATCCTGTGCAGGAGTGAGGAATCAGTCAGGGGGGAACCAAAGGACAAATGGGGAAAACTGAGAAAGAGAGAAGGGAAGAGATTCAAGTCAGAGTAAGAGGACAGAGATGGACAAAGAGATGGAGAAAAACAGGACAAAAAGTGGGAGGACTGAAGGACAGAGAGAGCAGAAAGAAGACTCAACTTGCCCCCAGATTAAGCCAGACATCCCCTCATCCCCACAAAAAAGGGAAGAAGTTGAGAGAGGAAACAAGAGTCTTTAATCAGGTCCCAGACTTCCTCAAACGGAAGAGGAGGGAGCTGAGTCAAGGTAGGGGTGCCTGTGGAACCCCCATTATCCCAAGCACACACATTCCTTGGTGGAGCTCCATTGTGACATCCGGAGCATGTGAGCAGCTTATCGCTGTTCTGACGCAGGCAGGCTGAGAGTCCTGCCTTCCTGCTGCTGGGTGGAGGGAGTGTCCCTGGGGCTGGCTGGCAGGCAGGATTCCTCTGGCACTCCAGGTGGGGCCTGTTATTGGGCCCAGGTGCTCACTGTCACCCGTCACTGCAAACTGCGGGCAAGTCTGGGCTGGTGAAGCAGGGAAGGGCATTGATGCTCCCAACTCAGCCAGCTGCATCCCCCACACCACCCCGCCCCCATCCCCACCAGGTCTCCAGCAGAAATGAGCTGGACTCCCAGCCACATCCTCACAAGCCATTCCACCAGGCCCCCTGTGTGTCTCTGCTGGAGCTTGGGCTTCACTGGAGAGAAGCCTTCTTGGAAGTCTCGCCTAATGCCTTCACGGTGCAGTGGCTTAAGCTAAGCTATTGGCAAGAAGGGGGACATGAATGACAATGATGGAGAATGAGGTGAAAGTTCTGATTCAGGTTCCGGCACCCCAGCCCAACCAACCAAGTAGTGTGTAGACACACACACACAGAGTGTGTACACACACAAGCACACACGCACACACACACACTTAGTGTTACTGGAATCAGATAGCCCTTTTCATTAAATTAAATGTACTCCCCAAGTCCTCCTTCCAGAGTTCCTGACTGACCAAACTGATCTTTCCTAGTAAGACTCTCCTCCTCCCCATATCTGGTACTCCTTCAATCCCCTTGCCTGGGACCAGAACCCCATCAAAACATCTGCCTTGCTAGACATCTGGGACTAAGAGAGGGCATCAGCAATGGACATCTAGAAGGATATGCAACAGGTGTTCTTTATGAGGCTGGGCTCTATAGGGGCTGGAGCTGTGTCCATAGGAATCAGGTCTTCAGAGGGAGGTGTTGGGTTCAGGGATCTGAGGTCTCCGTACAAAATCAGTTTCTTGGGCACATCTAAAAGTGTCTGTGCAGGTGTTTCCAAGATCATGGTGATGGTGGAGGCGTCCTGGGTTGGGAGCTGCAGATCTGCATGGCTAGTGGAAGAGGTGGCCTCCCCAGGCAAAGCTGGCAGCGAGGAGGAGCCGGGCGGTGAGGAAGAGGGGGCTGGGAAGCCACTGCAGGGCTGTGGCCACTGCACAAGTCCTGCTCACAGCAGCGGTGCAGCAGAGTGTAGGAGCACGACCCATAGGTGGCATGGCCCTGCAGGGGGCACTGGGACCTTGGGAGGCAGCCCCTCCGTTCAGTGCTCTCACTCTGCTCTGTGGGACAAAGCGGAATGCTGAGGCAGGGGCCTGGAAGAAGGCAAGGGGCCTTGGGGTGGCAGGAAGGGCAAGAGGATGGATGGAGGTGGAGGTAGGGAGCTATCTGGAGAAGGGCCATCGGACCAGGGTATTACCTGAGGTGCCAATATGATACCAAAAGCTTCATCGTCCTGACACTCGGTAAAGAGAAGGTAGCAGGGTTGGGCAAAGTCGCAGGTATAACTGTGAAGCCGTCTTGGGGCAGGAGAAGTGCTGAAATCTGTAGGGGCTATAGAGATAGGGCAGAAGGGAGAGGTGAGGCCAAGGGAAGGAGGGGAAGGAGGGGGGAGAAGGGCAGACAGAAGTAGAAACAGAGACAAAGAGAAGGGAGGGGAGACCAAGCAGGAAAAGAAACAGAGGAGAGGCAAGAAGGGTTGAGACATGACATAGATGTGAACAGAAGCCAAGAGAATCACAGCCAAACACAGACAATGACACAAAAGTCAGACAAGGGAAGTGAAGACGTTAAGTAGATGGTTCCAGAGACAGGGGAGGAAATAGAAATAGACAGAAGGGGGCAGGCAGAGGTCCAGCAAAGAAGAAAAAGATGAGGCGAGGAACAGAAGGGATAGAGGCAGGTCAAAGTCAAAGACACAGCGACAAAGAGACAGTCGTTCTCAAATGCCTTTGAAAGAAAACTTCTTCCCACAAGTTTTCCTGTTCTACCCTACAGGCTGGCCTGACACCATTCCTAGTAGTTCTTTCTAAAGCTCCCGCAATTCTCATCTCAGCCTCCTCTGGACACCCTCTCCCCAATCCTCAGGCTCCTCCACAAGCCTCTTCCCCCAGCCTCCTGGCCATGAGGGTTTCCAGAGCCCACCCTTACCCAGTGCCCCAGAGAGGTACAGGAGGCAGAGGAAGGTGCTGGAGGTGCCCATGGCTGGCTATGGAGTGCAGGAGTCTTCAAGAATGTGCTCTGTACCCCGAGATCCTCGAGAGTTGGAGCATGGGTGCAAGACAGGGAGGGACCAAAAACAAACACACCTAGGGAGTGAATCTGTGAGGGCAGGAACCAGGACCAGACTCATCAGCCTGACACAGTAGCAGAGGGCCCCTGCCCTCCTCTCCTGCTGCCCCACATTTCTCACCTCCTCCCTGTCTTCCAATGGAGTCTTCTCTGCCCTTGAGGGTCTTCTCAGTTCCCTCAGTGTGTTTGTCTCTGTTACTCTGTCTGCCGCTGCTGGGGTGCGTCTGCCACCTTCCCTTCTGCTCTTCTCCCTCCCTCCCTCCCCTTGTCTCAAACTGTTCTCTGCTCTCTCCGTATGTTTGTTTTCTCTGTCTTTTCCCCTCAGTGTGTTTGTGTCTCCCAAGGTCACCCAACTAAACAGCCTCATCCCAGATCTGAGGGATGTGTGAGTGAGGAATCAACAGCATCACTCCCACATACAAAAGCCCAGCTGAGTGAGAGAGGACCCCACTCTGCTTCAGATCCCTTTGATCCCCCCAAGCCTCAACACTCCTACCCCATAATTATCCCTCTCAGCTTTACTACCTTGGAGGAAAGACTTAATCATGGGTGGGACAGGAAGGACAGATGTGTTTCCACTGGTGTGTGGGAGGTTTGGTGGTCGGAAGGACTGGGAAGGAAAATGTGTATACTCTAGGAGGATAGGATACTCTAGGAGGATTTGGGGGAGGGGGATGTTGTGATAGAATCTGGAAGACTGGAACTTAAGAGTTTGGAGAGGAGAGACAAGCTGCTTCTAGAAAATCAGGGCAGGAATGTGCAGGAAGATTAAAACAGGGAAGGGGAGGGGTGGGACGAGGGGAGACACAGGTATCTGTACAGCAGTAGTTTTCAAAAAAGTTTTAGGTCTCAGAAAATGATACACACATAATTTTTTTTTTTGTCTTAGGACCTCTTTACACTCTTAAAAACCATGAAAGAGTTCACAGAGCTTTGCTTTATGTGGGTTATATCAGTATTTACTATATTAGAAATTAAAACAGAAAAAATTTAGTTATTTATAAACTCATTTAAAGATAAAAATAATAAACCTATTACAAGTTAACATATTTTCATGACAAATAACTATTATTTCCCAACAACATAGTGAGAAGAGTGGCATTACTTTACATTTTTACAAATCTATTTAATGTCAGGATTAACAAAAGATGGCTGCGTTTTTAATATCTGATTCTGTATTCAATCTGTTGGGATATGATGTTTTGGTGAAGTATATGAAGAAAATCCGGCCTCACACAGATATGCAGTGGGAAAAGGAAGACACTCAAGGATCCTTCAAAAGAGTTTTAGGAACTCCTAGGGATCCTTGGAGGTCCCTAGGTAGCAAATGGTTTGCGCTTCGGCTGCTAACCTAAAGGTTGACGGTTTAAACCCATCCAGTGGCACCTCGGAAGAAAAGCCTGGTCATCTGCTTCCACAGGGATTATAGCCAAGAAAACCTTATGGAGCACAGCTCTACTCTGCCACACATGGGATCGCCATGAGTCAGAATCGACTTGATGGCAACGGGTTCATGGGTTAGGGGTTCTTGGGTCAAAGTTTTAGAACGGCTGCTGAGAATGGAGGATTTTGGGGGCTCCATATGTTGCTGAAAGCTCTTTGTCCTGTGGGGGCCCCTCCCTGTCTGTCCCTATTGAGGCCCCCCCACCCCCGTGCCCAGCCTGTGAGCTGAAACACAACTCTTCCCTCCCCTTTTTATATTTTATTGCTCTATAAAGCCTAAGGCAAGGGGGATATAAGGCTGCCAGAACAGAGCCAGGGCGGCGGATGGGTGGGAGGGAGAGGCACTACAGACATAGGCAGACACAATGAACCCCCAACTAGTCGGGATCCTGCTGGGCACCCTGCTGGGGGCTGTCTTGGGTAAGGAGAAAGCCAGGCACCTCTCATCCAGCCTGTCCTCTCCTCTGCCAGCCGGCTCCCTTGAGGTCCCAAGTGTCCCCATCCAGCCCCTCCTCTCTCCTGCCAGGAAACTGCATGTGGTGCTTTGACTGCAGAGGCCCTGGCAGCTCCTGCAAAGAGATGGTGACCACCTGTGGCGAGGGCGGGCGAACGCTGTGGCTTCCTGGAGCGCAGACCCCACTCAGGCTCTGGACAGATGAAACTTTCTGGGAACCGTGAGTCCTGTTTCTCCCTCTTCCCTAGCCCTTTCCTGCCTCCAGCCCCCATTTCCTTCCAATCTTTCTGGCTTCCAAATCTTTCAGGCTCAGTCTGGCTCTGGACAGATGGTGAAGCTGTCAGAGTAGAGCAGTCTGTAGCCCCTTCTGGCTCCTGGCACTGAGCCCCTCAAAAGCCCAGGGTCCTTGTGCTTCACCTCCCTCCTCTTTCCTCTCCAGAAAGAATCTCATAGGCGTAGTCACTCATATATAAATGACTGAAAAAGCTCTGTCTCTTAAAGGCAGGAACCAAAATATTAAACCAAACTTCAACTTTCAGGCATTAGCTAGGGACCAGGGAGGTATGTATGTTTTAATGTTTTATTTTGAAATAATTTTAGATGTACAGAAAATTGCAAAAATAGTACCTAGTTTCTATATATCCTTCAATCTTCTTCCCGTAATATTATCAGCTTATATAATTATGTTGTTGGGTGCCATTGAGTTGATTCTGACTCATAGCAACCCCACATGACAGAGTAGAACTGCCCCATAGGGTTTCCTAGGCTGTAATCTTACAGAAGCAGACTACCACATCTTTCTCCTGAGGAGAGACTGGTGGGTTCAAACCACTGACCTTTCAGTTAGCAGCTGAGTGCTTAACCACTGTGCCACCAAAACCAAACCAAACTGGTTGCCATGAAGTCAATTACAACTCATGGCAATCCCATGAATGTCAGAGTAGACTATGTTCCACAAGTTTTTCAGTGACTGATTTTTTTGGACGTAGAGTACCACGCCTCTGGGTTGACTCAAACCTCCATTCTTTTGGTTAGCAGCCAAGCGTGTCAACCGTTTGCATTACCCAGGGACTTCGTAATCATAGTACAATTATTAAAACCAGAAAATAACATTGGTACAATACTACTAACTGATATTATTCTATTTAGCCAATTGTTCCACTAATGTCTTTTTTCTGGTCCAGGATCCCATGTTGAATTTAGTTATCATGTCTTCTTAGTCTCCTCCAATCTGTGAGAGTTCTCAGTCTTTCTTTGTCTTTCATGACCCTGACACTTTTGAAGGGTGTTGCATTAATTATTTTATAGAATGTCTCTCAGTTTGGGTGTATGTGATATTTTCTCATAATTAAATTGAGGTCATGAATTTTTTGGTGGGAATGCCACAGAAGTGATGTTGCATCCTTCTCAGTGCGTCGTATCAGGAGGGTCACAATGTCAGTATTAATTTTGATGACTTGGTTCCATGGAGGTGTTTTTGGAGGGGGCAGAGAATCCCTTTGGGCTCCCAGAAATCACAACTGCTGTGCCCCAGAAAGCAAACCCTCAAGCCGGGATCCAACACTCCCGTCTCATTCTCTCCCTCAGCCTCAGTGACCGTGATTCGTCATCGTCCGGCCTGCATGGAGGAGCGTCATTGCAATCAAGTGGAAACCGAGATGGTGGGAGATGTGACTTATACAACCCATAGGGACTGTTGCCTCGGAGACCTATGCAACAGCGCCGTGGCAAGCACTGTGGTCCCAGCATCCATCCTGACTGCAGCAGCCACTGCTCTGGCCTGGCTCTTGCCAGGGCTGTGGAGAAGGTAGTGGTAGGGAAGGGAGTGAGGGAGCAAGGGAGGTCTGGACATCGAAGATGAGAAGACAAACGCTCCTCCGTAAGCCATTAAAATCTATTAACCACTCTACAGCTGATTGGAAAATTCCATCTACCTTTACAGGGTCACTATAAGTCGAATCAACTCGAAGGCAACAGGTTTGGTTTTTGGTTTTTGTTGATAGGTGGAGCCCTGGTGGCACAGTGGTCAAGAGCTTGACTGCTAACCAAAAGGCTGGCAGTTTGAATCCACCAGCCGCTACTTGGAAACCCTATGGGGCAGTTCTACTCTGTCGTATAGGGTCAGTATGAGTGGAATTGACTCAACAGCAATGGGTTTTTTTTTGTTGTTGTTGTTGTTGTTGATGGGAGGGCTGAAGTGTTAGTATGGAGGCATCCAGGTTCTAGTTTGGGGGTTACCAAACCTCAATGGACTTTATTACAAGGGTGCATGCACCAATTAAACCCCAAATGACAATGGCAAATCTGCCCTAAGTTACTCCTCGATCCTGTTACTAGGGACAATGTTCCTTAGCAAAGAAGAATCACTGAGGGAGCAGGCTCTGAGCTCTGAGTAGGATCATCAGGACTCCATGAGCCTGGTTGTCTGTGTTTGTATCCCTTCTCCCTCTTATTTACAACTGGCTCCCAGTAGGACTATTTTGAATTGAGAAAGGAAATGTAAACACTGTGATAGGACAGTTGCTTGGTGTCCCACTTAGTAACCAGGCCAGGAGTGGCCTCATGGCTCTAACCTGAGGGACTGAGGCCTGGGAAGAGAGTCCTGGACCCCATCTCCATCCAACTCTCCTACCTTTTCTGGGGAGCTGAAGGCCTGCCTGTACCTCCTTCTTGGCAGCACTACAGAGGTGTGGCCTAAATTTGGGACGATTGTTTCTCCAAACACTGGGGCCTGTGTGTCTCCCCCATGCACTGGAAGGGAAGAGGGAGGCGTGCAAACCTGTTCCTCCTGCCACCCCAGCTCAGCTTCCCCTGGGGAAATTCCCTGAAGGATTCTTGTGTGAGCAACAGGGAATGAGAATATTGTAATGCGGATTGGGTTATTTTATGGGAGGGTGCCTGACAGTTAGGCCTACTAACAATAAATGCACAATTTATCAGACACAGACATTTATTACTCAAACTGGGAAGAAGTGAATATGAGGATGGGGTACATATGGGGAGCCAGGAGTTGGGCAATCAGTCCCATGCAGTGAGGTCATCTGGTCCTTCCTGGGAGCCTTCACTCGGGGGACAGGATAGAAGCCCCATTTCAGGCCCAGATCCCAATCTCTCTCCTAGTGGGGCAGGGTAGGGCACAGGAGACAAAAGCGGGAGCCCTTCAAGGGGGCACTGGAGGATCTGCAGTGGTCTAGAGGGGAAATGGGAAGGGACTGGATAAAAGCAGAGTGGAGGGGTGGGGAGAAGGACAGGGAGACCACTCTGGGGGAGTGTCTAACAAAAAAAAAGGAAGGGACCGGGAAACCTTCACAAAGCAAAGGGAGACAGGGAGAGACCATTCTGGGAAGCCAGGGGAAATGGAGACACAGGAAGAGAGGCTCAGGCTGAGGCAGGTGGGAGGAGGGGCAGCCACCGAGTGAGTGAGTCTCAGTGCAGCAGCCAGAGGCCAAGGCCAGCCAGGGAGGTGAGGAAGATGAGCGCCAGGGCCGGGGTGGGCCGGGGGGCTGGGTTGTTGCAGTTGTCCGTTCTGCAGCAGGTGGTGTTATAGGTCAGGCCCAGCTTGTGGTTGGTTTGGTTGAAGGCCGCATGACAGGGCTCTTGCGGTGTGCCACAGCGCAGGTTGGAGTAAAGCCACATTTTACCTGGGGGTAGGAGTGGGCAGGGGGTCAGCTGGGATGGGCACCTGGCAGGCCTGTGTCCCCGCTCCCCACCTTATGCATCTACCCAGGCTTTCTTCCTTCCCAACCCTGCCCTTGGCCCTCCTCTTCTTAATCTGTCCTAAGTCTAATCTTCCTCTTGTACTTCCTTACCCCTCCCCACTCTCAATTCTGGTTCCATCACTTGCTGGTTGTGAGGTCTTGGGCCTGTTACTATCTCTTTCTGAGGCTCAGTTTCCTCAGTATAATAATAGCACCCACATCATAGGGTGGTTATGAACATTAATTGGAACAATCCACGTAAAGACTTAGAACAGTGCTTGGCACATAATAGTCCTTGGCCACATATCATCATTTTAATTCTCTGTTCCATCTCAGCCTTAATCCTAGTTGGGCCTCAGTCCCGTCCATGGAGTCTCCCACCTGCCCCTTGTCCCCACTGAAGAAGGGGCTGTTACCAAGGTACACTTTTGTTGTCATGCATTGCTGGTTTGGCTCCAGGTGACAGGACTGCCGGTCCACACAGCCTATCAAGGGGATCTTGTAGCAGGAGTGACAGTGGATGTCAGCTGGGGAGACACAAGTTGGGCTGAGAAGATGGGGTGCCTAGCTCACTAGGGGTGGCTGAGCTGGGGGGAAGGAGGGAGAAGTACCAATCACATAAGCACTGGGACTCATTTGGTCTGGTCAGGACAGAGCAGGTGAGCGATGCAGCTTAAGTACGAAGTGGAGGTCAGGCGCGGGCGGAGTTGTTGCTTTGTGAAAGGCCCACACCCTAAATACCTTACTTCACTCCACGCCATTTGGGAATGAGTCAAAAGGGGCAGAGCACAAACTCGAGATTGGGAATGAATGGAATGTGGGGATACCACAAGGAAGGACTGAGGGGAGGCAAGGGAGAAGATGAAGGACTTCAGAAGTGGTCACAGATGGAGACTTGAAATGGGAGGAAACATTATTAAAAATAAAAATCATGGGGGTAACAACACTGGCAGCAAAATGTCTAGGAACTTGAGACTGGAGGAAAAGCCATCTGTGGCCAGCTTTAGAAACTTACTCTTTACCTCCTGGGGCTGCCAAGAGCTTGGGAAGAGGAAACACACATGACTGGGATCCTCTCACTGCAGCAGCTCTCCAGCAGAAAAGAGTAACATCTGGGAAACATATCATCAGATTCCATCCTAGCACCTTACCAAGATGGAAAGGGTGGGTGCAGAAGGTGGTGCCCCCAAAGTGCCTGCCTCTGCTATTTCAAGGTTTGGACATGCAAAGTTTGGGGAAGGAAGGATCCAGTCCAAGGGTGGAGGAGCCCTGTGAATGTACTTCAGTGAAGCCCATTCTACTCTGGATGTGAGCCTGCCCTGGCACCCCGCCCCAGAAGGTTCACGAAGTCTCTTTGGTTCCCTGCGAGGTTCTAAAAGCTTACCTGGGAAAAGAATCATCCAGAAAGCCACTTCAGTCTTCAGGAGGATATGGGGGCTTGTGTCCCTCGTAGGGAAGGGGGATATGTGACCCAGGGAGGAGTAGGGAAGACTAGGAAAGTCCTCGGCTGAGTGACTGAGTACCTACTAGCCCTAAATGGAGGAAGTGGGAGGGTGGGGAGCAAAAGGAGACTGCGGGTGGACACCTGGGTTTCTGAGAGGATATCCTGATGAGCACAAGAGAGGAGAGGAGAGAAGGCAAGTGAGCTGGATCCTGGCGAGTTGGGTACTGGAGTAGGGGGCTGGCTGGGGAACTGGATATCAGAGTTTCTGAGAAAGGGGCTTCTTGGGGTGGGGAACTGGGGCTGGGAGCTATGGCAGGTGAGAAGAGTGGGTCTTAGAGGTGGAGAGGAGTCTGAGGATGGAGACCTGGGTACCTGAGAAGTGGGGCAAGGACACTGCGGCAGGGAGGCCTGGTCTTGGAAGCCTAGGAGCACTGAGCCAGTTGGGGCTGGGGTGCTTGGGATCCTGAGTAGCAGGTAGTGTAGGGCAGTAGGTAGGGCAGGGTGTGAAAGTCTTGGCCAGGTGAACCAGGTCCTTGTACCCCCAGATGCTCACCTGAGACCCAGCAGACCAGAGTAGACAGGGCGAGCAGCAGAAGTCCTTTCATGGTGAGGATCCTGAGAATGGTAGCAGCCACAGCAGAAGACAGTAGTATTTCAGGAATCCGGAATCCGGCTCTGGGAGGTGAGTGGCCTTTTGTGAATTTATATTCTCAAAGGCCCCTCCCTTCCCTGCCTCTGGTAGCCCCTCCCTCTACATTTACACACAGCTCACCAGGGGAAAATAAGGGGTGGGGAGAGGTTGAGCAGGCCTGAAGTGGGTGAGGGGGAGAGAGGAATGGGAGAAAACACTTGTCAATTCCATTTTCATTCTTGGTTTCAGGCCAATTCCCCTCCTGGCCCCGAGATGAGTGCCTCTGAAGCAGCGTCACCAAAAGCCTCCGTGATGTTGCAGTGGCCACGATGGTGGCTTCTACTGGTTCCTGGGAGGTGGATAGTGGGGTGCGATTCAAGCTGGCTGCCAAATTTGGTTCCTGGCTGGGTCCCGGGAGGGCACTTGGAGGGGCATGCAACAGCAAGTAAAAATTGAGGATGAGAGGTGTTGAATTAATCTTAACTCTGCTCCACTTGATCTTCTCTGCAGCCCCAGGATAAAGGAATGGGGTTTGTAACTTTAGGGAGAATTTCTATGACCTCATAGGGGCAGAAACGTGGGCTGCGGCTGCAGGTCTAGGAGATCTGCCTGCTAAGGGGTGACTGCCTTAGGCTCCCTGAAGGTTCTTGGGACCTCGCCCTGACTCCACTTGGGGTTGATCTGGCCTCAGTCACTTCACATCAATGAGGGCCGCTGAAATCCTGGATGTGGGATGTGTTCACCTTCTCCAAAGCACGCCTACCCAACCAAAGCATGCCAGCTTGGGCAGGGCACCTCAGCTGGGAGATGAGGCAAAGCTAAAATAAGAATAGTAATAATGGAGTCCCTGGGTGGTTTACTAAACTGTGATGGCATAGTAGTTAAGAGCTACAGCTGCTAACCAAAGGTTGGCAGTTCAAATCCACCAGGTACTCCTTGGAAACCCTATGGGGCAGTTCTACTCTGTCCTATAGGGTCGCTATGAGTCAGAATCGACTCAACAGGAATGGGTTTGGTTTTTGGTTTTTTGGGTGGTTAACTAAAGGTTAACTAACTTGATCTCCTGGAGGCTCCAGTCTACCCAGGGGCACCTCGGAAGAAAGGCCTGGCAATCTACTTTCAAAAATTAGCCTTCGAAAACCTATGGAGCACAGTTCTCTGACATACATGGGATCACCTTGAGTCAGAATCAACTGGGTGGCAATTGGTTGTTTATTAGTAATAATAATGGCAAGCACTTAAGTAACCTGTGTTAGCCATTGTTTTAGGCGTTTTACGTATATTAATTTATTTAGTCCTCACAATAATACCCTATGAAGTAAGTGCTATTATCTCCACTTTACAGATAAATGGCCCAAGGACGTTAAGAAACTTGCCCACATTATACAGTTAGTAGATGGCAATGGCAGTACTTGAACTTTGCCAGGCCCCAGAATTCGTGGGTGCTCCTGGACACCGCTAAACTGAAGGAGTTAAAGTATGTGAAAGTGCTTGTGTAAACGGCCAGAGGATGAATTTTAAGTGAGCACTGTTTGAGGGCTGAGAGGTGGCCTGCGAGGATCTCATTCTTAAGGCATTAGGGCAGCTGCTGGCCCCGCCCTGCTCTTATCTGAGCCCCCTGCTCCCCGCTTCCCTCCGGTCTTACCCGCTGATTCACTGTTCCCTCTCCCCACCACATCCCAACCATGGCCCTGGTTCTGCAGCTGTTGCTGCTCTCAGGAACTCAAGGGGACCCGAGGGGTAAGCGATGTCTGGGGAAGTGGGGATGCGCGAGTAAAGACAGAGGCAGGGGTAAGGGCGCCTGGAAGGGGGACCAGGGAAGACACAAGATGCCCTAGAGAGAGGAGACTTGGAAGGGGATCGTCTCGCCGTCTGTAACTGCCCTAACCACCGCCCCGGGCTCTCCTAGCTTTCCTGGAGGGCCGCCCTGGGGACCGGGTGAATCTCTCCTGCGTAGGAGTCTCGCACCCCATCCGCTGGGCCTGGGCACCTAGCTTCCCAGCTTGTAAAGGCTTGTCCAAAGGACGCCGTCCGATCCTGTGGGCCTCGGCGAGCGGAACTCCCACCGTGCCACCTGCCCAGCCCTTCGCAGGCCGTCTACGCGCCCTGGACCCTGGCATCCGGCGGCTGGAGCTGCTCCTGAGCGCGGGAGATTCGGGCACCTTTTTCTGTAAGGGCCGCCAAGAGGATGAGAGCCGTACGTTGCTTCATGTGCTGGAGGACGGGGCCGATTGTAGGCCTCCCCACAGTAAGTCGAGTTCTGCCCGCAAAAGGGATCTTAACTTGGACACACACCCTCGGGTGGGAGAGGGGACTTGGCTGGAGGCTCCTGAGTGGGAGAGCGAGCCATCAGTCTTTGCAATCGTGACCTCGGTACCCCCATCTCTTCCCCCCAGGGCCCACGTACCCGCAGCTCCTGATCCCGCTGTTAGGCGCCGGGTTGGCGCTGGGACTCGGAGCACTGGGCGTGGCCCGGTGGTTGCGCAGGTGAGCCAGAGGAGCTGGGCACGGTTTAATGGGGCGTGACCAGAGGCGAGAGGGGCGGGGCCATAACCCGAGCAGGCGAACGCTCTAGATCTGGAGCCCTAGGGTGTGGTTTGGAGAATGCGGGAGGTCAGAACCTGGGGGCGAGGCCACAGGCCTGGTGGGTGGAGTCCTGGTAACGGAGCAAAGCTACATTGGGGGCGGAGAGGGGAAGGAGAACAGGATCGCAGAGTAGGCGGGGCTATCTGTGTGGGTGGAGTCTATGCTGTTCTTGAGCCAAAGCCTGAAAGTCGCTGAGTTGTCTACGGTGGGGTCTGTGGCCCAGGGGACTAAGCAAGAAAAGACTGGTGGCTCTCGAAGACTCGTATACTTTCCTTTCAGGCGCTCTCCCCCGCACCAGCTTAGACCACTGTCCAGATTTGGTGAGACTAACTCCACTCCATTTTTCTACTCTCACATCCCCCATCCCTCAGTTCCTGAGTCTTAGCCCTTGGTGGGAGCAGACAAGTTGGTCATCCTCTCTCCATCCCTCAGCTCTGTTCCCCCCACATAGCTCCACTCGTCAAAGCCGTGAAAGCCGAGCCGCAGAGGCCAATAATGAAAGAGGAGCCCAAACTCCCAGGAGACCCGGACCAGGAGCCGGTAAGGGTGTGGAGATGGAGGGGAGCCGGTCAGAATCCCTGCGGGAAGTGGGCTGGGAAAGAGGCCTCTATCCCCAAGAGAATCAGACTGCGGGTTCCATCCTGCATTCCTCCCCACCCTTCAGAGCCTGCTCTATGCGGATTTGGACCAGATGGCCCTCAGAAGCCCCCGCCGGCTGTCCCCCGCAGTCCCTGCTGATGCCTCCACCATCTATGCAGTTGTTGTCTGAAGGGAAACCCTTACTCCAGATCTCACAATCTGAGGCTCATAGCTCTCCATAGGTCTCGTCCCCCCCTCATCTGGAAAAGGAAGGCACCATGGGAAAGAAATGAACACTAGACTGAGTGGATTCCAGGCTATCTCTGCCACTGATCTGTCTCCTTCAGTTACTCCCATCTCTCCTTCATCACTGGCGCCCTCTCCCAACTGCTAAACCCAATCAAGCCCTGCCTCCCCATCTTAAGACATCAACAACTCTCAGATAGTTGCCCTATCTCTTCCCTTCCCTTCACAGTCAAGCTTTGTGAACCAGTGTCCTACACCTGCTTCTTCTATTTTCTTCTTCATTCTCCCTCCTACTGCTCATCTGCTGAAACTGCTCATCTGCTCTCCATAACGTGCCAGTGATGTCCTAATGGCCACACCCAGTAAAAATTGTTTAGCATTCATCTGATTGGCCTTTGACTACTGCCTTTTTTAAACTTTTCATTTGCTACTGGTGACTTCCTTCTGGACTCCTCGTCCACGTTCCCCACACCCATAGCATTCCTAACCATTATAGGTTTGTCCTTTTCTTTCTTCCTCTTCTCTGTCTTCTGAGAAGCTCTCATTCACAGCCAGGCATTCAGCCCTCACTCCTGCAATGACACCCAGATCTCTCTCCAGCTCACTTCTCAAATCTGGAATTTCCAAAACTGTCCCAGGGACATCCCTGCCTGGCTGGCCCCAGGCATCTTACACACAGCATATCCAAATTCCAACTCAATGTCATTTCCCAAGCCACCCACTCAATCCTCTGGATTCTGTCTTGGTCAACCCAGTTGCCCAAGCCAGAAACTGGGAGTCATGCAGATCTCTTTCCCCTCTCACCCTCACACAGTGAGCTGCCAAATCCTCTCTGTTTCTGTCTTATCACTGTCAAATCCACACCCTTCTCCATGCCCAGCATTGCTGCCTGAATGTATTCTCATTTCCTGCCTGCATTGTCCATAGCCCCACCTCACACCTGCTCATGTCCACCTCCCTGTAGCCAGAGATCTTCCCCAAATGCTAAAGTGCTCCTGACAGCCCTTATTCCAGAACTACAGTATTTCTCTCCTTAGCCTTTAGCTCTGAGCCCATGGTCCTTGGCTTTGGGTACAAGGTGCTACAGGACTGTCCACTCTCCAGGCTCATCCCTGTCACTACTCTGCATGCATACAACATGCCAGCCTTAGTGAAATTCTCCTCAGCTCCCAAATGTGCCTTTGCCTATGCAGTCCCTTCTTCCTGGAGTACGCTTTCCCCTCCTTTCCACTAATTGCCTAATTCTTATTCATCTTCAGGACTCAGTTCAAGTGTAACATTTTTTGGGAAGCCTTTTCTGACCTTCCTTGCCCTATCTCTGCATACACTCTGATGCCTGAGGGAGCCCCCTTATTTTGCTCATAGCAACAGCCACCTGGGAATTTTTCCATTACAACCTGTATTTCAGTTTACAACTGAGTTCCCTGACTTCAGGGGGACTGACCCTTTTTTATATTACTGCCATGCCTCAGTACATGAGTGAATGAAAACGAATGTCCTTGGATGCATCATTTCTTCCTCTCTCTCACATCGGGGTGAGCTGGTAATCTACCCTTCTCTGAATCATCTGACATTTAGATAAATCCAGAGTGATCCACCCACACTGTCCCTTCTCTGCTCTGGACACGCTCCACAATAGAAATTCTCTCTTGTCCATCTTGCACCCAAGCACCTATGATAGGGCTGGGCAGTGAGTAAGTACTTAACGAGGGTTTGTTTAATGAGAGGCCTCCTTCCCAGCCCTGATCCCAACCTCAGGTTTCAGCCCTGCCCCTGTCCCTCTGGCCCAGGAAGACAGCAGCCACAGCCCAGTCTAAAAGGTCAGTTCTGTTTTATTGGTTCTGGGGGAGAGCGCTCACCCAGTGGTCCCTATCTTTTTTCCCGCACTATGCCCTCCCCCCATCTTGAGGCCTCTCCCCACTACTACCTACTCACCATCCTGTACCTAACCCTCCTCTCCTTCTATTCCCTCCGCTGCCCTACCCCTAGCCAGCCAGGACCCAGGGCCAGGCCTCAGCTGTGGGGGCGTGTGCTGAGCACCAGGCAGAGGGAGCTGAGCCCAGCGCCTGCCTTCTCCAGTTCTGAGCAGGACACAGGTACCAGGGTGACATCTGTGAGCTTCTGTAGTGCCTGCAAGGAGGGCACAGTTGGGGGAAGGTAAGATTCTGAGGCCAGAGCCAGGCCCTACTTCCAGTCAGCTCATAGTGGCCCCACCCAGGCTTTTAGAGAAGGCACCCCACCCTCTGTCCTCCCACCAGGAAGGCCTGTGGCTCCTTCCTGCTTGCTAGTGGTGCCAGTGGGGACCCTGCTCTCCCTTACCTCCTGGCTGTTGGGCAGGTCCCCACCTCCACGGTGCAGGAGGAAAGGGGATGCACCAGGTAACCCAGGACGCAGAAAGAGACAGTCAGCAGCTGCATCGTCTGGGAGGGTCAGGGAGGCATAGGGGTGATCAGTCAGCACTGCCATTGCCTGGAGGAGAGATGGGTGGAGAGGAAAGAGGAAGCTTTCAAATCTCAGAACCTCTCTGCACCTGACTCTGTTTGCCTGACCACCACTAAGGGCTGGGGACAGTTACATCTGTGGAATAATAATGACACTTAAGAACATAGCACTTACTATTGCCAGGCACTGTGCTAAGCACTTTAGTTACATTTGCTAACTTCTACCTCAAATTCAAGAAGCCCTGGTGGTGCAATGGTTAAAGTGTTGGGCTGCTAACTGAAAGGACTGGGGTTCGAACCCACCAGCGGCTCTCATAAAGATTATAGCCTAGGAAACCCCATGGGGCAGTTCTACTCTGTCCTATAGGATCACTATGAATTGGAATCGAGTTGACGGGCACACAACAACCACCTCGAATTCACATGCAGTTCTTTCCACTTGCAACCGTCCCTTTTCTCCCCTTCTCCAGCCTGCACCTGTCTGTCCCACCCATCCTTCAAGTCACATCTTAGATGCTACCTTTGGGGCATTTCCTGAAACTCCAGAAATCCAAAAAAACCAAACCCGTTGCCGTCGATTCCGATTCACAGCGCCCGTATTCCGTGGCCTCCCGGCGCCATCTTCCGCTATTGTAATTTATTGTTTATTCGGGAGTTCTTTCCCACCAGGTGGACAGTTCCGTGAGGGCAAGGCTGGGTCTAATTATCTAGGCCTTCCTAGCTCCTCACCTCCCCGCCCCAGAGCCACGCCCCATCCCAGCCCCGCCCTCCTCACCCTGACAGCCTTTTGGGCAGAGTCGCTGCTGCCAGCCACTACAGTGCGGGGTCCCCCCATGCCACAGAGGCCGCGCAGGTGGGAAAAACCCGAGACCGGCACTGTGGAGACGGCGAAGTCCTAGGGAGAATAAAGGGAGGCATTTAGGGGCGCGGGAGGGGTGAAGAGATGACCTCAAACAAAGGCTGCTCTCAGGCTCCCCATCCTCCGTGGGTCCTCTCCCCCGTCCAAGGCTGGGTCAGCTCCTCACCCGGAACGTGTCCGCCACGATCTCAGCTCCTCGGTGATTGGTCCATTTGGAGAGACCTACGAAAAATTCCCGGCCTGCGCCAGGGAGGTTTGAGGTGAGGGTGATAGAGAGTTGGAAACAAGGCCTGAGACGGCCCAGTCTCTCACTTTGCTTCCCTGTGACAGAACCTGGGTGTGCTAGCACCCCGCCTCACCGGTGAAGAGAACATCGGTGCCATCCAGTGTCGCGTTCTCGTCCCCCATCTCCACAATTCGGAGTCCCAGGTCCTGCAGGGCTTTGCGGACTCCATCGACCTTGGGGCAGGAGACGAGGAGGGCGCGAGGCTGAGAGACACCGCCCTCCCCCATTTCTTCCCTAAAGCCTAGGGTTCTAGCTCCTCCCGCCCTTGTCCTCTTTCCTCCCATCCGAGCCCTGGCGCTCACCTCTGGCCTGCGGGCGGGGCTCCAGGGCCTCGTGATTAAAGCTGTGTCCCCTTGGATCACGGCCGTGTCACCAAGCAGCGGTCCCAGCGGCAGCGACTCCTCAGGAGACAGTTCTAGCAGCTGTAGTCCCAGTCGCTGTCTCAGTTTACCCCCCAGCACTCCGTGCTCCCTCTGAGCTTTGGCCAGGTCCAGCGCCGGGAGACCAGCCCCTGAACCCTCCCCCGACCCGAGGCTCTCCGGGACCCCCCGGATCAGGGCATGGGAGCAGCGGCCCAGCCCCTCCCCCGGCGTCCCCATCCCATCCACACAAACGCCTCCTCTGGCAGCACTGATTGCTTAGTTTTCTCTTTTTACTTCACCTGTCTGGGAGAAGAGACAGAAAGGGGGGAAGCAGAGAAAGAAACATGCAGAGAAGGGCATGGGTGGTGGTTAAGAACGCCCAGGTCTTCTTGCCATCTCCGGGCGGCCCTCCCACTAGCTCCACCCATTCTAGACCTCCTCCTTTTGGCGAACCCCCTCCACCTCGCACCCTGGCGAGTCTGCTGCTTTAGGGGAAGTCCCACGAACAGGACTGGGATCCCTAATCTCCAAAACACCTGTTGTCCCTGCCCAGGGGCTTCGTGAGGTTTCTGTCGGGCGCCCCTCTTGGCAGCCACTAGGATGCGCTCACTGTCCAAAAATGCAGCGGCCCCGCCCCCTTAACCCTCAGCTGCTCGCGGCTGGAGGGACCTGAAGTCCGGCAAGGGACTCACAGGGGTTATGGACAGGGGTTATGGGACCGGAGGAGACAGCTAGGGAGAGTCAGGGCCCGGGGAATGGAAGTCCCGGATCCCCGAGCAAGGAAGGGAGAGAGGGACCGGGAAGGAGGGATTAGCGTGTAAGGAGTTAAACATCTTCTCTCCACCCTGGCCGGTCACTCTGCCCCTAGCGCGACCCAGTATAAACCAGACCGAGCCCCCAGGGACTGGGAGAGGTCGAAAACGAAATGCGGGGCGGGGAAACGGGGGAGGGGGGCGTGGTTCAGGGGAGCGGGCGCCACTCCAAGTTCCTAGGGCCGGTTCCCCGGTCCATCTTCCCCAAAGTCCACCCGCCAAGCTCCGCATACAAATGCTGGTCCCCTGCACTCTCCGTCTGGTGCAGCCATGGGGCCAGCACCCCCAAGAACCAAACTCTGGTCCCCACACGGTCCAGAAGACACCCCTCACCCGAGACTCACCTCCAACGGCCACCCCCACTCCTGCCGTGCTGCGATCTCGGCTCGGGTCCCTCCCTCCCGGGGGCAGAGTTGGTGGAGATGAGAGCCTTAGTCTTCAAGCCTTGAGAATTAGAAGCTCTGGCTTTTGGTGGTGGTGGTGGGGGGGTCCTAGGGTAAGCGAGCTGATGTACTATGATCCGGCGGGGGCGCGACGGTCTGGCGGCTCCCGGGCATTGTCTAAGCGGGACAGGGCGGGGCTCCCCGAGGCCACGCCCATTCCGCCCTGCTAGGCCGAGCCCATTCCACTCGAACTGCACCCCCTTCGCAGGACTCGGCCCCGCCCCACAACTGCACCCCCCTTCCAACTGCACCCCCCTTCGCAGGACTCGGGCCCCGCCCCACGAGCGCAGCCCGGGCCCACCCAGCTCTAGCCGGTCCTGGCGGCGAGGCTGCAAACGCGGCATGGACCACCGAGCTGCGATGGCTGGATGGGGCAGAATCCTGCTTTCGAGCTCACACTAAAAATGGCAGTCCCACCTGGCTTTGGTCTTGAGCGCAAAGTCATTGACCCACCCCTCATTCCATATCACTTCAAGCCTCCTTTGTGTAATAACACCACTAAATTTTCATTCTGTATTTTATTACTGAAATACGTTGTCCTACCCACCCTTCCGTACAATAAAAATTTCGCCCAGGCCTCCCATCCTTTTCCCTCATCCCCCTAGCCAGCCTGCACAAATGCTCCAGGATTCCCTGCTCACTGGCCATTTCGGAGTGTGTCTGTCCATTGGATAGCCATGTGGAAACCACCGAGGGCCTTTGTGGAGAAAATGGAGGGAGGCAAGGGAGCCCCAAGAGAGGCTTATTTGAGGGCTTTGGCCACTTGCTCGTAGGCCAGCTCAATCTCCTCATCATCTGGACAAGTGGAGGCGAATTCTTCCCGAGCATATGCATTGCGCAAGTACCGATGCACTCCCCGTAACTGCTCCGGGATGGAGAATCCCCGGTACTTCTTACATACAACCTAGTGGTGGAGAGAAGAGAGGGACCAACATGTTAGCCCTGGGTAGCCACACTGGCTGTCATGCTGGTGGTCTTCCCCTTCTCCCACAGCCTACATGACAAAATCCAGCCTTCTTGTCCAGTGGTTCAAGAACCTCCACCATCTGACTTCTCTGCTATTGATTGTAATCTCCCACATGAATCATCTTCTTCAATCCTCTTTCTGAACTCCTCACTGCCTTCCAGTGTCTTCACTCTTCCTCTCCACTTACTGAAACCCTAGCCATTTATAGCCAGCTCCTTTCCAGACCACCCTATTCCATGGTGCCACTTTTCTTCTCTTGATTGTTTTTTTGAGTTATGGTTCACATGCCATAAAACTCTCCTCTTGAATTTCCAGTGATTTTTTGTCTCTATTTTTTATTTGGCTTTGAATCATGTACTATTAACTTTTAATTGAATGTTTTATCTTAGCTAGATTTCAAACACTTTGCAGGCAAGGACCAATCATCACAGATCTTTGTATCCTTCAATGCCTAGTACATAGCAGATGTTCAATACATAGTTGTGTGGCAGACTGACATTGGGCCCATGTTTCAAAAACTAAACCATAGCTTCGAGCCTATGACAGAAACATGGGAACTAGCAGTTTTCATCTTCCACAACAGGAAGTAGAGACTGAAGCTATAAAGGGAGGTAAAGCCTGCTCTGTCTGATTTAGGGATTTGGCAGTGATACAGAGGCAGGAAAAGCATTCTTGAAAGTAATACTGAGATGTATTACTTTTGGACAGCCTGTTTGCACCCACAGCTTATATCATAGAAAGTAATCCTCTCAAAGCAGTGGTTTTGGCAGCAGTGACTGCCAAGGACTGGGTGGGGTCTGCTACTGGTGGCAATCTTTGTAAACCACCCTAAAAAGCAGCCACCTTTGGAGCGGTTGTCATGGAAAGCCCATGTGGGAGTTCCTTAAAGAACCATCCTCTCGTCCCATTGAGTACCCACCTGCACAATATGGAGCTTCGGCAACAGGTTGCAGTCAGCCAGCGTAAGCTCATTGCCATCCAGAAACTTCCTCTGAGAGATGCCCTCATCCTCAGCACTGGTCTCATCCACTTCTTCTGGGAGGGGGGATATCAAGTAATTGTCCAAAACCTTCAGGGCTTTCAGGAGCCCCTTCTCCAGATCTTGCAAGAGAAGAATTGATTACAACACTGGGAATAAGCCCTCCCTAGCCAGTCCAAGAAGGTCCATGGGGGGTGGATAATAATGGTGAGGTCAGCCCAAAATAATAACTAACACTGATGTAGTTAGTTTTCTAAGTCACTCTAAGCATTTTACAAATAAAAACTCATTTAATTCTCACAGCAACCTATGAACAAGCTATTATCTTCATTTTATAGTTCCAGAAATGGATTTACAGAAGGTTAAATGACTTGCCCAAGATCACACAACTAGTTGGATTTGGACTCAGGTAATCTGGATCTAGAGTCATTGTTCTTAAGCACAACCCTATTCTGCCAAAAAGCAGTCCAGCAGCCAATTAATGTCCCCCAGTGGGGCACAAGAGGCTAGGAAACAAATGAGAGAGGTTTAAAAGTCATGGCCAGTGAGAATGCAGGGAAATATAAGGGTTAAGCAAAAATAAAAGGGGGGAAGAGGTTTGCCAACATCTGTTCCATCTCCCTGATTATCTTGATATCTGAACTTCTAGGTGACCCTACTGCCTCACAACCCTCTGGATCTCCCCCATTCATCTTAGGACCCAGGCCTCCTACCCACAAGACTCACTGTCATTGAGTGCTGGGTTTGAATTCTTGATGTAGGCAGAAAACTTGGCAAATACATCCAGCCCAGCTGTGTTGGACTCAGGGTTCTGAGCTGCCAGCTTGGGGTACCTGAGAGCCAATGGGAGAAACAGCGTAAGATACCTTCCTGGGAGGAGCCTCAGCTCCCCTGCCTTAGCCCCACCACCATCTCTGTCTTTGATTTCTTCAACCTCTCTCTTTTCCAGAATTTTCCAGCTCCCCCCTCCCCTTCCTGAGTGCCCCTATACCTGGGAGGGCACAGCACTGCCTCCAGAAATTCCTCGATCTTGTTGGTGTCTGTGTGCACTTCGGTGCCATACAGCAGGAATGGGAGCTGCCCTCCTGGGCACAGCTTCTGCACTGTCTCGGTCCGCCTGGAGGAAGAGGCTAGGCATTAGGACAGGAAAAGGGGGCAGGGAGAACCAGAAAGGGGAGATGGAGGGACTTGGGAAGATAAAGGGGCTCTGGGTAGAGGGGAAAAAGGTTCTAGACGGAAGGACTCGGGTGGGTGAGTATTTGTGTGTGCACGTGTGTATGCGAGGGGTGTTTAAAGGAACAGAAGTGGGCCCACCTCTTGGTGTCAACAGTGGTGACGTTGAAGGTGACTCCCTTGAGCCAGAGCACCATGAACAGTCTCTGGGAGAAGGGGCAGTTCCCAATCTTGGCCCCATCACTGCCAGCCTGAAAAGCAACCCCCACCCCAAGGTTAGGCCTGGTGCACCCCATCCCCTTCCCCAGACCATTCTGTGCATCTCCTGCTCCCAGACCCAGCTGTTTTCTGCCTAGTCATGACACACACACCATCTTACTACTAAAAGCTCCCCCCAAAACTCAGTTTTCCATCCTCGAGCGGGTCAAAGGGGAAATTTTCTGGAAAGACAGGCTTCTGGCTCCTCAGAGTTGAGGACAGGCAGGAGGTAGGCAGAGGGAATGGGTCTTGGAGAACTTGGACCCCAGAGAGGGAAGGGGTGTGGGACTTTGGTGAGGCCATAGTTGCAGCTAGAGGCCCAGAGTCCCAATTCCTGAATGGATTAGGACCTGAGGGCAGGACCTGAGGCAGAGTGGGGTTTGGAAGCTAGAGTTCTGGTTCTTTAAACCTCCACCCAAGCTGTTTCTGGGCAATCAAGGGGTCCTGAGCCTCCCCCCTAGAGATATGAAGGGCCTTGCAGAGGGGGGCTGCTCTCTAATTGGCAAGTGGTGACATCATCCCCCAAGGGACACACACCTCCCCCTATGCTGAGGGTGATTCATCTCTGTGTCTCAGGCCTCAGCAGCTTCCTTCCTGGCAAGGAAGTGGGGGCAGGGATCTGTGAGGCCTCGGCCTGGGTAGCTAAGGCCACCTCCCTTATCCCACTGACCTTGCTGGGGTCTTCTAGCATGAGGAGTCAGTCCTCTGGCTCCAGTTAATCCTCCTCACAACACACAGGGCCAGGACCTCTGTGGCATAGCCTCACCCAGGAGTAAAAATAGCCCCTGAGGCGAGTGTGAGAGTGAGGTGGGGACCGCACCTAAGGGGATGGACCCAGTCCACCTTGACTTCACTGGGCACAGGGAGAGGGAATGGCTGCCTGAGGAACCCAAGCATAAAAGGAGAGGGAAAGATAGGTAGGAACACACAAAGACAAGATGAACAAAAGGGGAAAAGTGGAGAGACAGGAGGCAGGAAAGGGAAGGGTGAGAGAATGCTCAGACAGGGAGACACAGAGGAGGAGAGGAGGCCAAAGGAAAAGAGGGAGGGGCAAGGAGTGGAGGTCCAGGGACCGGGAAAGGCAAGCAATGTGGGTGGGAGGGGAGTGGCCTCCAGCCTCTGAGCCAGCAGGGCAGAAATTGAAAAGGCTGCTGCCTGCAGTTTGATACCCAAATGCCATGAGACCACCTCTCCTCATCCACACCCACAGAGAGGGGAGAGACAGGGGCAAGGCTTTTTCTCCTGGTTCTAACCCCCAATCTTTTAAACACCGTACCTCAGCTCCCCTCCTCCCTCTGATCTCTTTCCCCACATATCCTTGTTGTAGCTACAGCTAAACTCCCATCTTCTTGCCGCCTCCCACTCTCATGCTTCCCCAAATCCCGGGATATGTGCTACCATCCCATCGTCCTTCCAGCGCTGCTTATTGATCTTGCTCCCACTTTCCTCTCTCTTTCCTTCCATCCCACAATTCTTCCCAATTTACTTCCTCCCACCCCCAAGCCTACCACAACATACCCTCTTCCTTGTAACCTTGCTCCCCTACCCCCAACCTCTCCTCCAAGTCTCACCCACTACACCCCTCGCCCCCAACCTCTGAACTTCTCTTAGGGCCACATGTCCTAATCAGTGTCCCTCCCAAACCCTGTTGGACTTCCGCCGCCCCTTTCTCTCCCAGCCCTTCCACCAGCTCGACTCCACCCCCCCCAGCCCTAGTAAATCTTTCAACTCCCAGGAACTCTCCGTTTTCTCTACATTCCTCTCCCTTAGGCTGCGGGAAACTTGCACTTTTACAAACTTTTCAGCGTCAAGCCTAGAACTCTCCTTACCTGCTCACAAGTCAATTGTCTTTCCCTCTCGCAACCCCCCCTTAAAGACTGCCTGTGGGGCTGGCCGTAGGGGTCGGGAGGGAAGGGGTTGGAGAGTTAAGGTTGGAGCTGGGGGAAGGTGAGAAAGTTGGCTTCCAGAAATTCAGAGGGTAGCCAAGGAGGGAGAGTTTTCTTACCTTCACGAACAATTCGACCTGCGGTTGTTCTTCAGCCATGGTTGAGACGGCGACCAGGAAGCGGCCGTCGCTGGGGGAACTGGGAGGGGCCGGGGCCAGGGAAGGCGGGTCTTACAGAAGGGGAGTCTTTCCTCTGGACCTAGGGCTGTCCCTTCAGTGCGACACAAGCCCTATCAGACCCACTTGCTCCAGACAAGGTCTCCCTACCAGCCCAGCATACCCCGACCCCAGCTCCTTCAGCTCTGTCCCTTCCAGGGCTGAATCTGGGAGCGGCTGACTCACCGACCGGCCCCGCCCTGAACCTGGGGAGGGAACAGGAGGGTGGGTGGGACTCTTGGGTCTACGGAGTAGGCTGAGAGGGGAGGTCCTCAAATCTCCCAGAGGATCGGTTGTGGCGGTGTTAAGGAGAGGGAGTTTTGGGAACCACCTTGTTTCTCCAGCCGTCTCCGGGACACAGGATTTGGTTTCTGCCTCAGTTTCCTCGCTTCATTAATCAGAGGACAAACAGTACTCCACCCTCACACATGAAACTTGACACCGACGGCTTGGGCACACTCAATAGGGCCTAGAGAAAGGATTTTATAACTGAAAGGGTGGTCCTTTATTCCCTCTTCCGTGTTCCTTCCACATTCCAGTCCAGATTCTGAGTAAGGACTGTGGTCCCGGAGAAGAAACCGGAAGTGGAAGCTGGGAAAGGGGCAGGGGGTGGTGAAGGGTCTGGCAGGGATTGGGAAGGGAGACACAACAAACCTTGTGCTAGGGAAACGGGAAGCTGAGCCAGGGGCATCATGCAGAGGGAGGTACCCACCCCACAGCCTAGTTAGTTTTAATGCTTTCACTTCTGCCTGCCAACCCTGGGCCCCATCCAGTGCCCCTTGCTGTCTTCTCACTGATAGGTTGCCTTGGAGATATCCTGGGATTATTGTGGCCCCAGGTTAGAGCTGCACTGACCCTGTGGGGTGGTGGTAGCTGGACCTGCCAGGGGGAAAAAACAAAAATCAGACAGAGTAGCGTGAGTGGAGTCCTTGGGGGCACATGAATAAATCAGTAGGGAGAAAGAGTAGCTCTAACCCTCCGAAAAGGTCAGCGGTTTGAACCACCGGCCACTCCGTGGAAAAAAGATGTGACAGTCTGTTTCTGTAAAGATTACAGCCTTGGAAACCCTATGGGGGCAGTTCTGCTCAGTCCTATAGGGTTGCTAGGAGTCGGAATGGACTCGATAGCAATGGGCTTGGTTTTGATTTGGTATAAAACCTATGACCTGCTGAAAAGTAGCCCCAGAATATGTCCTCCAAACTGGGTGAAAAACAAAACAAACAAAAAACCCAAACTCATTGCCACTGAGTCTATTCCGACTCCTAGTAACCCTATAGGACAGAGTAGAACTGCTCCATAGGGGTTCCAAGGCTGCAAATCTTTATGGAAGCAGACTGCCTCATCTTTCTTCCAAGGAGCAACTGGTGGGTTTGAACCACTTTAGCAGCTGAGCTCTTAACCACTGCACAACGTGGGCTCCTTCCAAACTGGGTAAATAGCCAGAAATTCTCCCACATCCTAAATTTCTCCTGTCCAGCCATCCCGTCTCTTTCCCCCTCATCAGCCTCTGTCCAACAAAAGACTCACAGTTCCAGAAGAACACGCAAGGACATGGAAGCAAAAAAAGGGCTGGAGACTTAAAGAGACTTGGGGGAGGAGTGGGGTGGAGTGACTTGACGTGCTGCTAGAAACCAGCAGTTGGTGGTTTCCTCTCATGCTTCCTTTTCTGTGGGAAGGCCTGTCTTTCTTCTCAGAAAGAAAGGGTATATTTGGTGTTTGCCCCTTTTAATTGTAACTTCCAAGAAGAATGTAGAAAGAGCTCTGATGGCACAACGGGTTAAGAGCTCAGCTGCTCACTGAAAGGTTGGCAGTTCGAACCTACTGAGCAGCTCCGAGGAAGAAAGACCTGGTGATCTGCTCAAGTAAAGACTATAAAACCCTATGGGGCAATTCTACTATGTCACATGGGGTCACTATAAGTTAAAATCAACTTGATGGCACCTAACAAACAAGAATGTAGAATGATTCCACAACCAAACACTTTGATGGACAGAGTAGCAGGGGCCGAGGTCTGGGGACCATGCTTTCAGAGGACATCTAGGTCAATTGGCGTAATAAAGTTTATTAAGAAAATGTTCTGCATCCCACGTTGGTGAGTGGCGTTTGGGTTCTTAAAAGCTAGTGAGTGGCCATCTAAGATGCATCAATTGGTCCCAACCCACCTGGAATAAAGGAGAATGAAGAACACAAAAGTCACAAGGAAAGCATTAGCTCAAGAGACAGAAAGGGCCACATAAACCGGAGACTGCGACAGCCTGAGGCCAGAAGAACTAGATGGTGCCCGGCTACCATCAATGACCGCGCTGGCGGGGAACAGAACAGAGAGTCCCTGTTGGAGCTGGATAAAAGTTGGGTGCAGAACTCAAATTCTAGTGAAAAGACCAGACTTAATGGTCTGAAGGAACCCCAGAAAGCTTGGCCCCCAGACTCTCTGTCAATGCAGCACTAAAAACACTTCTGAGGCCAACTCTTCAGTCAAAGATTAGACTGGACTATGGGACATAAAATGATACTCGTGAAGAGTGTGCTTCTTAGCTCAGTAGATACATGAGACTAAATGGGCAGCTTCTGTCCCGAGGTGAGATGAGAAGGCAGAGAGGGTCAGGAGATGGTTGAATGGACACAGGAAATCAGGAGTGGAAAGGAAGAATGTGCTGTCACAATATAGGGAGAACAACTAGGGTCACATAACAATGTATATATAAATTTTTGTATGAGAGACTAACTTGAATGGAAAACTTTCACTTTAAGTACAATAAAATAAAATTAAAAGAAAAAAAGAATGTACAGCTAGATGGTGCCCGGCTACCACCACTGACTGCTCTGACCGGTATCACAGCAGAGGGTTCTGGATAGAGCTGGAGAAGGATGTAGAGCATAATTCTAACCCACAAAAAAAGACCAGATTTACTGGCCTAAAGGAGACTGGAGAAACCCCGAGAGTGTGGTCCCCAGACACTCTTTTAGCTCAGTGGTGAAGTTACCTCCGAGGTTCACTGTTCAGCCTGGGAGTGGACAGCCGCATAAAACCAAATGAGACTAACGAGGTACGGGAGTCCAGTGACAAGGGCCAGAAAGCAGAAGGGGACAAGGAAGCTGGTGATGGGGAACCCAAGGTTGAGTAAGGATATTGTTGATATGTTGTGAGATTGTTAACCGTTGTCATAGGGCAACATTTGTAGTAACTGTTAAATGAGAAACTATTTTGTTCTGTAAACCTTCATCTTAAGTGAGAATAACAGCACAATTGGAAGAGCGTAGTCAATGTCACTGAACTGTGCATGTAGAAATTTTTGAAAGGGTGTATCTTTGGCTATGTGTATTTTCACCAAAAAAAAAAATAAAAAAGTAAAGAGTTGATATGTTGTGGGGCTGTTAACCAATGTCATAAAACAACATGTGTACTTCTGTTTCATGAGAAACTATTTGTTCTGTAAGCCTTCATCTGAAGTACAACAAAAAAATAAAAAAAAATAATAAGAAAGAATGTAGAATGATTGGGGGGCGGGAATCCCCTCCATGAATGACACTCAAAATCTGCAGACAGGACCCCTCTCCTTGGAGGAAGGGGGGTCAAAGCAACTCTACTTCCCAGGGTCCTCTCCTGCTCTAGCTGGTCAGTGTCCTATATAGACCTTCCCTCAGGGAAATGGGGCCAGCCCTGGGAACAAACAGGTTTGGCAACCTCTCACCTGCCTCTCTTTTCTCTCCTGTAGTGTTATAGCTGCAGCTGTTTTGATCATCAATATTGACTTTGACTGGCTGGCATGGCTACCCACGAGATAAAAAAAAAACAAAGATATCTTGCCTTGATTCCCCAGATGACAAACAACGCTGCCTTCTCCTGGAGCCATCCAAGAGTGTCTCATGGATTTGAGGCCCAAGGCTGCTCCCCTAAATCCTGCATGAGAGAAGTTTGCCTCTTTTCTTGTTTCCTTGCCCTTTCTTTTCTATCTCATCTCTTCTTTCCTCCTCTGAGCTTCTCTTTCCACTCCCTCCCCTTCCTCAGCTTGGTAAACTGGTACCTAATCTCTTCCCACCCCAGATTGTAAGATGTGGCCCTCCCTGACACTCCCCAGAACTGTCACCAGCCTCCCCCAGGTTTCCATAGCTCCATTGCTCAATAATTTGCCAGGGTAACCATTAACCCAGCCCTCAATTTGCTCTCCCACTTTTCTCTCTGAAGAGGATTTTCAAACCGCTGGTCAGCAGAGCCAGGTCATCTCGCCCCACCACCTTTCATAACCTGTTGGGTGAAGGGGATCTCTCCATCTCAGAGTTCCAGGAACAAAGATCTATTTAAAGGATCTGTTTTATTAAGTATGTATTTGTTTATTTCTGTCTCCATCACATACACTCCCTCCACACACTCAAAAAATAAACTTCAAATTAAGGGACTTAATTTGGTTCACTGCTTTGAGTCCATCACCTGGCCCAGAGTAGGCACTAAATAGTTACTGAATGAATGAATGACACTTCTGTTTTTAAGGGGGTGTATGTGGGGGTAGGGATATGGGAATGTTCCAGAGGGGTGTAGGTGGACTTCTCAGGCCTACTACTCTCTGCTGGAATTTGGGGTAAGTGGGGGGCTTAAAATTCTAAATTAGGCCCTGAGGTGCTCTTGTGGGGGTCGTTATACTTCGCACCCAGGAAACAGGCAAAGGAGGAATGAGATAGTCTTACTTCCGCTTATTTAACACTCATGTAGCTTTTACTATGTTTGCCAGGCGCTGTTCTAAGCTCTTTATAAATATTAACTCAGAGGGTACAAATATTAACTTAGAGTTGTTGGCACAGGTTGAATTAATGTTGCTTAACGCCACTCTCCAGAAAGAACGTGACTCTGGCCCTTTAAGGTCGGCCTCCTCCCCACAAAGCCCTGGCGCCCCCAGCCCCTTCCTCGAGCCTCGGGCTCCAGCTCTTGGGCCGACCTTCTCGCTGGCTCCACCCCGCGTCAATCAAAGCGCAGAAACACTGAGGGCCCGAGGCCCGGCTGCTAAGCAACGACACAGGGCGGGAAGTTCGAACTTTCTGGCAC